GGGTCCAGCCTCGTGGAACCTTTTCTCGAGGATCCCTTCATTTAAATGGCCGGGCGTTTGTTCGCCAGGACTCGTTTCACCACCATTGTTCCTGTCTTATTTTCGAGGCGCGTCCTGAATGTCCGCACCCTGCCCCCGGCCGTCGGGAAAGGGTGAGCAGCAGCAGCGGCGGCAGCCCCGAAACGTGCCCCGACTTCCCTTACAATCCGCGAATTTCCAGTTTCATTTCAATCGGGCTCCATGCGAACGCATTCGTCTCTCCTTCGGGAGTCATTTACGTTTCCATTCTTATTCCCTCCGGCGGATTAAAGCGCGCCAACCGATTCGCCGTCTGCAAGGTGGAAGGGTTCCGGACGCGACGCGAACGTTGGACGATCGACTGGCCGTTGCGAGACCCGGAGTCTATACAATGTAACGTTGTACCAATGAGGAGCCTCGTGTTTGCGAAACTGTCGAGCTGCTGCCTCCTCTCTCGACCGAGATATTCATTACGGAGTCTGTTATCTGAAGCTTAGATCGCCGCTTCGACGACTCGACCTTCAACGCTGATGCTATCGAGCTTACCGATCTTTACGAATTTCTTGAAAAATCAGTTTCATAGTTTCTCAAGGGAGCACTTGTACCTTTTTCAGCTTTTGCGTTCGGAAGTATCTCGTTAGAAATATTTAACATTTTCTGACTAGATACAGAATATATGTTTTAGATTAACTCAAAGAAAAATTGCAAGCTAGACACAGACGATATGTTTTAAGTTAACTCAAAGAAAAATTGCAAACTGGACACAGACGATATGTTTTAGATTAACTCAAAGAAAAATTGCAAACTAGACACAGACGATATTTTTTAAATTCACTCAAAGATAAATTGCAAGTGAATTGAGAAACAAAGCTTTCTATCCCAATATTTCACACACCGATGCGTTATATACAGTTGAATATTGAATATCAAATTTCATAGTTTTACCACATGAAATCAAGTGGTGACAGAGTACTCGGTAACCTGAGAACACTAGAACTACCGTAGTTCGTGTGAATTTATTCGTTAGAATTTAGATCTCAATTGGCTTATGTTTCACTTTAGGTATTAATCGCTTCATTAATAATTTCTTAAACAAGTATCTGTCCCTTTCCAATTGTAAAAAAAGCATTGGCCATTTTAACCCCCGGCAGTTCCATTGTTAAAGTAGAGCCCAGAAACTTCGAGGACTCGAGCTTCACCTCTGATCCAATCATCGATAGAACACATTACATTCCAATTGCTAGTAATTCATAGTACATCCAATCATAGCGTTGAATATTTATTTGTAGAAATAAACAACACAGTTCGAAAAGCTAAGTGTACATTGATCAAAGTACGTAGTACGGTGCTTTGCACAAAACACAGCACCACTGGCTACCTTGCAGTCATTAAAACTTCATGCTCATTCTCAACATATACTAACGAGATCACCCATTACAACCAAACGATCAATTCGAGCTCGGACATCTCCGAGCACCTCCATGGAAGTCGCGTTCGGGAAACGTCGGTTGACGTCCGGGTGCCCCGACGGTCGCAACGGCATGGGAATAAGAAACAGGAGTAGCTGCAAAACGGGGGACAGGTGTGCTCCAAATAGAGCGGGCTCGAGGTCCGTCTTCGTTTCCTCTTGGAGCTTCCTCCCGTAGTTTCCTGTCCCGGCTCAGCGATCCCCCGATCGGGCTGGCGGCGTTCGATTCCAGGGTCCCGGCCTCTCGCCGAAAACCGAGCGCGCCATACCCGTGAATGCGCGTTTGATTGTCCTCGGCTGGCTCTCTTGTGAAAAGCCCCGGTCCCTTGCTTCTCCGGCAACTCGTATGTCCGCTCGTCTCACCTTGCTCGTTTCGCCCCTCGGCTCGTCGTACTCGACGAGACACGCGGGACCGAATCCAGGGTGCCAGAGAGAGAAAGAGCGAAACAGCAAAGGTGTGTGCGCGGCCGGGGTCAATCCAATATAAATCAGAACCGAGTCTTTGCGAGCTAAGCCGGAGAGAGAAGCGCGAAAGGAGCCGAAACGGA